CTGCTGCTGCTGCTGCTGCTGCTGCTGCTGCTGCTGCTGCTGCTGCTGCTGCTGCTGCTGTTGCTGTTGTTGTTGTTGTTGTTGTTGTTTTTGTTCTTGCTGCTGGTGGCGGTGGTGGGGGTGGCTGGGCTGCTCGTGCTGCTGCTGCTGCTGCTGCTGCTGTCGCCGTTGCTGGTGGGGGTGGTTGGGCTGCTCGTGCTGCTGCTGCTGCTGCTGCTGTTGTTGCTGCTGACGGTGGTGGTGGGGATGGTTGGGCTGCTGCTCCTGCTCCTGCTGCTGTTGCTGTTGCTGCTGCTGCTGCTTTTGCGCTGGCTGGTCGCTTGCTGGTGGTCTTGCTGGTCTTGGTGAGCTGCTGTTGTTGTTGCTGCTGGGCTTCCTGCGTTGCTGCTGCTGCGTTGCTGCTGCTGCGCTGCTGCTGTTGCTGCTGCTGCTGCACTGCTGCGCTGCGGCCTGTTTTGCTATTTGCGCTCAGATAGCAACAAACCAAACGACCTATGAGCAAATCAAAAGCTTCTTCTACGCAACAAATCCGTGGAATAAGTGGGACTACTGCTGCTGCTGCTGCTGCTGCTGCTGCTGCTGCTGCTGCTATTGTTGCTGCTGCAACAGTTGCGTTTGCTGCTGCAGCTGTTGTAGTTTTGGTTGCTGTTTTGTATGCTATTTCGCAGCAGCTCTCGCTGCTGATGCCTCTGGGGCTGCTGCATCTGCGGCGGCTGGTGATGCTGCAGTTGCTGCTGCCCTCGCTGCTGCTGCTGCTGCTGCTGCTGCTGCAGTGCAGCACTTTGGTTTTTCCTTGTTCTGCTGCAGAGGCGTCCTTGGAAATCTTTACGAGGCTTGCTGCCTCGCACGGAACCCCAGACACTATAATCCGAAGTATGCAGTGCTGCTGCTGCTGCTGCCGTTGCTGCTGCTGCTGCTGCTGCTGCTGCTGCTGCTGCTGCTCGTTTCGGCACTGTTGTGCGCGGTAGGGCTGCTTCTGCTGCTGCTGCACGCGCCTGTTTTGCTGCTGCCTCTGCCACTTTGTTTCTGTTGAGGCTTGCGGGCCTGCGTAAACGCTGCTGCTAATGCTTTGACGTGCTGCTGCTGCTGCTGCTGCTGCTGTTGCTGCTGTTGCTGCTGTTGCTGCTGCAGGCTGGCCGGGCCTTGCCGCCTGGAACTGCCCCCACGCAATCCTTATCCCCCTTCTCTGGAGTCTTCCTTCTCATGCAGAGGTCTGCTGCTGCTGCTGCTGCTGTTGCAGCTGCTCCTGGCGCTGCTGCTGCTGCTGCTGCTGCTGCTGCATCTGCTGCAACATTAGCGTGCTGCCGCTGCTGCCGTTTTGCTGCAGCATCTGCGGAGGCTTCGGACACTCGCAGCGTCGTCGTTGAGGGCAGCAATCACTCTTCGCAGCAGCAGCAGCAGCAGCAGCAGCAGCGGCAGCAGCAGCAGCAGGCAATGCTCATGCGGCAGCGTTCTCAGCACCAGCTGCCGGAAACCCTACATCACTTCGAAGAGCAGCAGCAGCAGCAGCAGCAGCAGCAGCGGGTCTTCATGATGCAGCAGCAACCGCTGCACGAAGCCCCAGCGCTTCCCATAGTTAGCTGCGCCCAGCCACCAACTGTTGCTGCTCTGAGTGGTAGGCAGCAGCAGCAGCTGCTGCTGCTGCTGCTGCTGCTGCTGCTGCATCTTTTTAGCATTAGCTCTACCGCTGTTTCTGCTGCTGCTGGAAATGCTGCTGGAGCTGGTGCTGCCAAGCAGCAGCAGAAGCTGTGAGCCAAGGGGGGCTCAGGCTTTGCTGCTGCAGCTGCTTTTCTGCTGCTGCTGCTGCTGCTGCTGCCTGCAGAGGGAGGGGCGTACTTCTGCTCTCGAGACTCTTCCCTTGTGGACTGCCTTGAATCCAGTAAGTCCTTTACTGCTGCTGCTGCTGCTGTAGCTGCTGCTGCTATTGCTGCTGCTGCTGCTGCTGCTGCTTAGCTGCCATTTGCTGCGGTGCTGCTGCCTTTGCTGCTGCAGGGCGCTCTACGACGCAGCTGCAGAGCGTCCCCCTTGTTTCATCTGAGAGGCCTCAAGGGCTGACGAAGCTGCAGCAGCAGCAGCAGCAGCAGCAGCTGCTGCTGCTGCAACAGCAGCTGTGCCCGGGAGCTCGCCTTTCGCGGAGCCACAGCTACTGCAGCACGGCGCAGCAGGAGGGAGAGCCAGCAGCAGCAGCAACAGCAGCAGCAACAGCAGCAACAGCAGCGCTGCCGGAGCTCGAAACGCAGCTCGGCGCTGCTGTTGCCGTCCCCAGCAGCAGCAGCAGCAGCAGCAGCAGCAGCAGCAGCAGCAGCAGCAGCAGCAGCAGCAACCGCAACCGCAGCAGCAGCTGCCCATCCCTTCTTACACGGCTGCGGGCACGGAGACATCTTGCTGCTGCAACACAGGGGCTGCTGCCGCGGCTGGCGTCTCTCAGCAGCAGCAGCAGCAGCAGCAGCAACGGCAGACGCAACAGCACCCCGTCTCTGCTGCAGGTGCCTATACAGCCGAGCGCCTCCCCGCAGCAGCAGCAGCAGCAGCAGCAGCAGCTGCAGTGGCAGCTACGGGAGCTGCAGCGGCTGGAGGAGGACGATGTGGAAAGGCAACTGAGGCAGCAGCAGCAGCAGCAGCAGAAGCCGCAGCAGCAGCAGCAGCGGAAGGGCCGCTTCTCTTCTTGCATGGCTTCTGCTTCCTTGAGAGCTTTGCTGCTGAAGTGCGGCAGCATTGCCTGCGTGCTGCCGGAGGATGACGAGGAGGAGCAGCGGCAGTGGGTGCTGCAGCTGCAGCAGCAGCAGCTGCAGCAGCAGCTGCAGCAGCAGCTGCAGCAGCGGCTGCAGCAGCAGCTCCAGCACCAGCAGCAGCACAGGAAGCAGCACCGCTCCCACTCCAGACCCTGCTGCACCCCGCAGCGAGAAAGGCAACACCGACAGACCCGGCTGCTGCAGCAGCAGCAGCAGCAGCAGCAGCAGCAGCAGCAGCAGTGCTGGGACCTCCCGCACCAACCCGACAGCGTACCTACACCGTGCAGCTCTAATTTGCAGCTGGAGCAGCAGGTGCAGCAGCAGCAGCAGCAGCAGCAGCTGCTGCAACCGGAGCAGCAGCAACCCCACAGACGCAGCAGAAGCGCAGGCCACCCACACAGTCCTAGATATGAGCGGGCTGCAGCAGCAGCAGCTGCAGCAGCAGCAGCTGCAGCAGCAGGAGCTGCAGCTGAAACAGCAGCTGAGGCAGCAGTGGCAGCAGCAAGAGCAGCAGCTGCGACAGCAGCAGCAGCAGCACCTTCGCAAAAAGCCGAGGCGGCAGGGTCGCTGCTGCGGCCGGGGAGCCACTAGAGAGCAGCAGCCAGATGCCTAGGGTTTAGGGTTTAGGGTTTAGGGTTTAGGGTTTAGCGAAGCTCCCAGGCACAGAATTCCTCTGCTGAGATTTGTTTTCTCCAGTAATTATCTACCGGCCCTATTTGCAAGCCCCTGGTGCTGCTGCTGCTGCTGCTGCTGCTGCTGCTGCTGCTTTTGCTGCTGTTCTGCTGCTTCAGCAGCAAGTATGCTGCTACAGCGGCAAATCTGCTGCTGCAGCTGCTCCGCTGCTGCAGCTGCTCTGCTGCTGCTGCTTTGCTGCTGCTGCTGCTCTGCTGCTGCAGCAGCAGAGCAATGTGGGTCATCTCTGCCGCTGCTGCTGCTGCTGCTGCGGCGGGTGGAATTTGCGGTGTACATACACCTGAAACGGTTGCCTGCACTTCTGGAAGAGGTGCCTATACACCTGAATGAAGTGCCTGTACACCTGAAATAGGTGCCTATACACCTGAAACTGTTGGCTGTACACCTGAAACTGCTGCAAGTTCTGCATGCGGTGTCTGTACACCTCAAGTTGCTGGCAGTTCTTCGGAATTAGGTGTCTGTACACCTCAAGTTGCTGCAGCTCTTCGGAATTAGGTGTCTGTACACCTCAAGTTGCTGGCAGTTCTTCAGAATTAGGTGTCTGTACACCTCAAGTTGCTGCAGTTCTTCTAAATGCGGTGTCTGTACACCTGAAGTGGGGCCTGTACAGCTGGAGAAGGTGCCTGTACACCTGAAGGGGAGCTGCTGCTGCCGCTGCAGCAGCAGCAGCAGCTGCTGCTGCCGCTGCAGCAGCAGCAGCAGCTGCAGCAGCTGCTGCTGCTGCTGCAGCAAACAGCGGGAATTTTAGGTTTTCATCTATTTGCAGTTTGCATTTGAAACAAAATTCTTAAAATGCAATTTGCCCATTTTGGGGGCTGTGCAGATCTGGGGAGAACCGGCAAACCCTAAACCCTAAACCCTAAACCCTTGCAGAGGCCTAAACCCTAAACCCTTGAAGACGGCTAAACCCTACACCCTTTAAGAGGAAGCGTAGCCGTGAGACATAAGCAGCAGCAGCAGCAGCAGCAGCAGCAGCAAAGAGGCCTTGGGGGGCTGTTCAGGACTGCAGCAAGTAAAGATGAACAATTAATTTATTTAATTTATATTTTCTTTAATGCAATTTAACTCAAAAAATTAATTTGCTGCTGATTAGCTGCTGCTGCAGACACCTCAGGCGTTTGCTGGCAGCAGCAGCGCAGCAGCAGCAGCGACCCCGTAGGCCTAGCGAGGGTTTAGGGTTTAGGGTTTAGGGTTTAGGGTTTAGGGTTTGGGGTGTCTGTACACAGGAACTGCAGAAATATAGCACTTAATGAAATTAAATGCCAACAGTTTTATTTCTTTTCATAAAAAGAAAATTCAAAAAGTCCCCGTCGCTCCCGCTCGCTGCTGCCGAGTCAGCAGCAGCAGCAGCAGCAGCAGCAGCAGCAGCAGCAGCGTAAAAGGGGCGAAGGCACGAATGACAAGCTAGCAGCAGCAGCAGCAGCAAATTAGTGAAAAAGGGGACTAGACAGCAGCAGCAGCAGCAGCAGCAGCAGCAGCCTCGGGTGTCACTGCAGCCCATTGGTGCACTGGGGGGGCCCCAGCTGCTGCTGCTGCTGCTGCTGCTGCTGCTGCTGCTGCTGCTGCTGAGCCTCA